AAAGAAACAACCGCATCCGCATCCTCAATTCTCATCCAAAGCCACAGCCACAAATTGCGCCTCAGTTAGGGGACCTTTTCGTTGAGCCTTTGACACGCACTTAAGTGCTTCAACATAATTTCCTAAAGTTATGTGTGAAATGTTAATTTTCTTCCGCACACGCTAACACACACTCACATACATACACTTAAGAGCACTAATTAGCTTAAGTTTTCGTGCCGCCATTTTGTACCCCCAGTGAGTCCTCTTGTGGTCTCTGATGAGCTGACTACATCAAATTAATTGCCTTTTTGGGCTACTTTCTGTATCTATTTGTGTCCTCTCTTGGTATTCACTTTATCTTATCTACTCTTAACAATTTTCATTTTAATTCTGCTTCCAACTTCTTGCATTATTGAGGAAATGTTAAGCAACAATTGCTCTGGGCAACTTGTCAGGTGAAAACCTTTGCGGACCACGTACACACACCCGCACAACCATAAGCAGCCATCTGGGCTGAGCTCCTCAATCTGTCATTTGGTCATGTGGCCACAGCCTCAGAGGCTCAACTTTAAATTGAGTTTCTTTGGGGAACTTTTCACACAGAGAGAAAATACAGAAGAATTTAATAGACAAGTTTGCTTCTGGGGGTCGCTGAGGGCGTGGCACTTTGTATGTGTTGATTGCTGTTTTGTTATTCATGGAATTGTTTAAAAATTTAGATTGCTGCGAATCTTGCAATTGGTGTTTGAGCTGTTGTTGTTAGTGCAAGTCAAGTTGTACGCACTTTGTATGAAGACGAGATTTGGAAGCGAAAAATATTGATGGGTAAAAATACTTCATAGATCGCTCAAGTAAAATATTAAAATTAAATTCTCCTCCAATTCTAACATGTGTATCTTACCCCTTTCACCAACTATTTACCATTTAGTCACAAGTAATTTACCTTAGGCGATGCAAGTATTCTTGTTGTTTAAAATTTGATTTTTGGACTCTGCAGACTGTGCAAGGACATTTTCCCATTTTCCTGCATAAAAAACACACTTAAAGGTAATGAAAAACTCCCATGGAATACCCCGTTTAAAGAACTGTAAAAAATTTGCAAGCATAATTTAATTAATTAGAAGAAACCCCCAAGCTCAATCCTCTTTCATGCTCATTCCCATTTTCGTTCCCTTTCGCATTCATGCTTAGAGCTACCCCCTTTCGGGTATTTTGTCAATTAGCTGCAAACCGCAGCTAGGAGCACGTAAGCGAAACCTGGAGCCGGCCAATCCATTCCGAACATCTTAGCGTGCCGGGCACGACGCTTGAGTATACCCCTCCCTTCCATCAATTCTCCACCCATTTACGTTGTTAACAACACGATAAAACTGTAAAGTGAAGCCAATTCATTAATTTAGCTGAGCATCGGACTGGAGCAGCAGAAGGATACCCACACAATTAGATGAAATGTGAGCTGACCAGGAAGCAAGAGGATGGGAAGGAGGAGGCACCCAAACGTTGAGTTACCTTTGTTTTGCTGTTTGCCTGTCTCGACTGTCCTAGAATTGAAATTATGAGCCTGAAATTTCCTGGGAAACAGCTTTGTAGTTCACCCAACGAAAAGTGAGCAAGCTCGTTGGCCATTGAACCGTGTGAGCATCAGAGCCTGAGGCAGAGAAGTGGACGAAGATTCACGGGGATTCAGGAATTGGCATTCACCGTGTCTCATTGAGTGGCAAACGCACTCATAGCTGAGAGGGGTGGCTTTTGTAGTTGCTGCTTTGTCAGTTGGCGTATTGCGGTCGAGTGTAATCGAACATGGAACAGCTGACAACCGACACACACACTCACATAGACACTGACAAGCACACACTCATAGCTGTTGGTGTCAATGGCAAAAGATTAGATGCCCCAACGTGCAGCCAGTTTGTCACATCATTAGGTCCTTAATTAGCTTAGCTAGCAGCTGCAGTCTAATGGGGATGGAGGGTAGAGGAGAATATGTCTTGTCTGTTTTGCATATAGTTTAAGCAGCTGACAAATGTCCTGAGCTGCTTATACCATATCTTCCAACCTCCCCTGCCCCACACAAACTATTGAGTGCAGTCTTAGCCTTTCTTATCCTGCCCCCTTCCTTTTGAGTGTAACTGTGCCAAGATGAGCGAAGGATTCTTAAGCGAGTCCTAAGTGCAAATGGGTACTGGCCAAGCTTCAATGCGTTTGTAATCCCCATCAAAGGAGAATAAAAAACAAAGTGTAGCAGTTTGCGTAAGGTGAAGTCGGAGAGAAGCACTTACTTCAAATTGATGTCGACTAAATGGATAGATCACCAACTAACACTGAGTTGTCTGCAAATTATTGTCTAACCGAATCCAATTTCCAATCATCTCCACATTCACTAACTATTAAATTACGCTACAATAATTTGTCTGACCATAGATAAGCCCCCATGGTTTCCTTGACAACATTTTGCATATCAATTAGTGCAGCAAGCAGCAAAATTGGACTATCGCACTGGCTACGGGTGAACGTGGCCAGGCCATAATTGGAATGTTTTGAGGCCGCAAACGCGGATTCAACAACCAACTTCCCACATGTCGCATTGTTGATTTACGGCCACAGCCGAAGAGCAGACAGCAGAGAGAATGGAGTGCGAGCCTCGAGGGATCCACAAATGCCGCCTATCTGTGCTGCAGTTGCATTGCTGGTGGCTTGGCGGTTGCCTGCAGCGGTTACCTGCTGGCTGCATTCCTGTTGACACCCACACAAATAGTTCACGCTCGGCAGGAAAGTGTCCAATTGGGGATTATGCTGATTTAATGGCCACGAACCGCATATGAAGCGTATTCAAATTGGCATCTGGCATTTGGAGACCCAATTCAGAGCCACAATGATTGACAAAATTGGCTTAAGTGCTTAACTAATGGTAAGCATGGCAATAAGCCGGTTCAAAAAAAGGTCCCACATGTACATTCACACACAGGCGAAAAATAAGTTAGGTCGACGTGATGACGCTGGCATAAATCTCCTGCCATTTGGGCAGAAAGGAGTTGCTTGCGTGAGCTTTCTACATTTTTAGAGTGTGCGACCATTAAACGTTTTCCGTTAAAGGCCCACAGAGCACGGCTCATAAATAAAGATAGAAGCAGTCAGAAGTAAGCAGGAGACAGTTAATTGGCTTTCAAAGAGAAACAAAAAGAGGTTAACTATGAGAGAGAGGCATTATATTAAGTTATATATAATATTTTTAGCTTGTATGTTTCCGTTTCCATAACAACCTTAAAAAAATCATTCTCTTGGAAATAATTCCATTGGAAAGCTTTAATTGAATTACATAAATGTTTTTTTTTTGTTTCACAATTCACAATGTTCAGATAAACATAAAATGTCGACTCTGAAAATTATTTTAATTTGCATTGCAGCTTTTTGCTTACTTTGTCATAATTCAAACAAATTACAAGTAATTGAGCAAACATTTGATGCATTTTAATTAAACAATGGAATTGCGAAACTGAATAACAGACTGAATAACTCTGAACTAGTGTCACATTTTCTACTGTTGCCTCGTTATTTGAACACTCTTCTCTACGTGAGGGTATCAGAACAATTACACACACATGCCCACGTACGGTGCCAACTAACTGCAAATCGCAGCTGTAAATTGCAAATGCAATTCACGGTTTACCCATTTTCCAGAGACAACAAAATTTCCACTTAAAGTTGCAGTTATGCAAATGCATTTGGCCCTTTTATGTGTGCGTCCACGTGTAATTGTGTGCGAGAGTGTGCCCGTGTGTGAGTGTGTGCTATGCATGAAATTTATTTTTCTCTCAATGACAACGCGTGACCAGCAGAGCAAATTAAAGGTGTCGGGCTGGACTAGGAAAATATTTGAAAATTTTAAGCTAACTCAAAAAAAAAAAGTATGTAACAAAGTCGGTTTCTAAATTGGTAAAAGTAAAAGTTTCTTCTGGCTAAAAGTTTTTGAGACAATATAAATTTAATAATTGGCCATTTCCACAATAAGTTTGTCATCTAGCTGAGCTGCTCTTTTTGCTTGTTTATGTTAAATTTATTTAAAGTTAATTTGACAGAAACTAAAATTCTGGCATGGCAAGCATGGGGACTATTAAAAAAGAGCAAGAAAAACTTTGCAAGTTTGATTGAAATTTGAAACTGAGCAGCAAAATGGACGCTATGTGGCATTTACTTCCAGGCCATTAAGACACAGTGACACACGCGGCTGTTGAAAAGGCCACATGGGTCGTTGGGCAGGGAGACCTTTGTCTAAACTTTCGGCCCGAATTTGCTTGTTGCCATTGTATTGACTTTTTGTCGCCTCTGCCACTGTGACCCTTGTCAGCTGTTCTCTGAGGGACTGGGAGGGAGAGGGAGTGATGACTGTGCCGATAATATCGGGTTTGCGATGTGCTTAATCACGGGACTTCAACTACAGGCGAGCAGATCGAATTCAAGCAAAAGCCTCCTTATGCGCAGATTATCATTGTCAAAGCCAAAATCATAATAAATCATTCAGTTTCAGCATTGGCGGCAAACAAAGAAAGTGAATTGTCTTTTGAATGTTTCAAAGAAGCGTGCACTTAAAGATTTACTAACTTGAAGTTCTTCCTTATTAAATTCCTTCTTGTACTAACTAACATGCACATGAACCAAGTTATGATAGGTCGCATTTTTCCTGCAGGTGCTTAGAAAATCTAAACCTGCAGCTAATGAGAAACCCCAATAAGAATCCTCAGACTGTAAATAAGCTCGCACTCGGCATAGACCTGAATCGCCAACAAGCAGATTACGAAATTAATGAGAGGATTGCTTGGAACTAGAGTTTCCGAGGTTTTATTTATTTTAATTTTTTCATTATCCACTTGTAGTGAGAGCCACGGGTCAGGCCAAGTTGCTTCCCATGTCAAACGGATGGGCACTTCCAAGCAAAAAAGACAAAATCTTATTAATATGAGCATTAAAGTTTTCAAATGTTGAATAGAATCTGCATCTAATTGAGTTGGCTTTTAGTTTTGCCTGGAAATGAAGCAAACACATTTCCATTTTTACACGTAGGCAAATTTTCTGCTCTGTTATATGCATTGACACGGCAGCTCGTCCATTGCCTGGCCGTAAAGGCAGCCACAAAATTAAATAAGTCCAGGCACACATTCAAGAGGGACTATTCCACTGAGGCCGCAACTAACAAGCACATTGACAGTCGTTAAAAGAGGACAATGACAACGGGGACAACTACCGAGCTGGCAGTCAGGATGCGAGAGAGACTAACAACGTTTTATATATTTATGAGCCTTAGAAAGAACTACAACAGTAAGTCGGCCAATAGCAGCCATACAATGCACAAAAGGTAAACTTCATTTGGTCAAAGAACAGAAGACAATCAAAAGGCAGAGGCGAGAACTGTTGTGAGTGTGTGTGTAGGGGAGGGGGGCGTCGTATGGCGTTGGCTGGCTTCCGTTTCCGTCAATTGGCGTTGAATGCTGTTTCCTGTGAGTTAGCGGTGCCAGGCGGCCAAGGATACAGCCAAGTCGTCTAGCAGTTAGTGTAGTTAGGGGCTAATTTGCAAATAGAATTGAGGCATTTGAGACGGAGAAGAGGTGAGACAAGCAGCTTTGTCAACTTAATTACAGCTTGTTCATTTCCTTCTATCAAAGGTGAAGTTATTGAGATAATATCTCACATCAATTATAAGGCAGCATGTGCAATGTCAAAAGGTCAGCAGACAATGAAAAATGTTTCATATCTTTAGTTGCATTACATAATTAATAGCCTACCACTGCACATGAAGCTAATCAATGCAACAAAACAATAACCCAAGACTCACATAACGCATGATTACTGCAAGAAGTTGCGGCCAAAATATTAAGCAAAAGAGCAGTGCGTTACATAGAATCTCATATTTTCTAATCCCAAGCTTTCTATTTGCATCAAATAATGAATATAAATATGAACAGAATAAATTGGCGCGCATATAGACAGAGGTACATCAATATCACATATTCATTTAATATTATTTCCTGTAAAATGAAAATCAGTTGAAGTATTAAATCTATGGCAACCGCAGCTATCCAAAATAAAAAGTATGAATATTGCGAACAAATGTGTTAGACATGAAGATACCCTTGACAGTAAAGCTTATAAACATCTCTTACTCCAAGTAGTTACTGAAGTTACAGACATATAAACAGCTTGAATATACGCAATCAGCTCAAAATTATAATTATGATGAATGATGCAATTACTTCAGTAGTTATTTGCTACTCTCTATTCTGCTTTTAAGCATAGATATACCATTTTTCAACCAGCTCATTGCGTAGAGGGTATAGTGAAAACATTTTTATAGAATTGATTGGGTGACCGCTGGGCTCATCCGAATGGCGTCCCATCGTTTCGCCTGCAGAGTGTTTACTCTATACATATTTGATTTGGCCTTTTGCAAATATTATTGCCACAGCAGCGTTTGTTTTCATAGCGGTATGAGCGATGGACATGGATCGTGTTTGCTTTTCCAATAACATGGCAGCCGATTGACCGATGATTGACAAGAAAGCATCTGCTTAGGCAGCCAGCCAGTTAAACGGACTTGTATGTGGTATGCAGGCCAGTGAAAAGTAATACGGCTTCATTTAACATGCTTAAAAAGTTATGCCCATTTTTTTTACATTTGCTGAAGGTAGTACAGACACACATTGAATCAGCGCAGATTGTACATTTGAATTCAATATAATTAAAAGATTAAAGGCTTCTTCTAATAGACTTTTTGGGTGCTGATAAAAATGATCGAACTCTTAAATGTTTTACTTACAGTAAAATTACTTTTAAGACTATTATACTTCCTTCACCTTCCTTCTTAGCTGCTACACACGAAAATTGTCAAGAGAAAAATTAGCTTTGAAAAGTAGCATATTAAATATCTTTATCGTGTCGGTGATGATTTTAGAAATAATTATATTCTGATTAAGCCTTAAGCGTTTTTAGCGATTTAAGTTAATTTCAAAATAATTTGTTCTTACATATTCTTATACAGTTGCTGACATGCATCAGAAATATCTTTATATAATCATATATGTATTTTAAAATAAGTAATATCTTATATATATTTGGTTTCAAATATGAATTTACTCAAAATATAAAACATTTAGGGTAAATCAATCCATCCAGCTTAGTTATCTAAGGACCCAACCAGAGTAAAACTATATGGCAAAACTATATGGCAAGCTCGAAGTTTTTTCGAACCTCATATCGAAACACCTACTTTTTTAATTAATCTTTAATCCTTTTTAAATTGTACCATATCCATAGACTAACTTGGGAGTCGAACCCTGAAATTTGAGGGGCAGCTGCCTGAATGTCTGATTCAATTAGAAGTTTTATCGAAGGAGAACTGCGAATGTCGCCAAAATAATGTCTAAAGATCCTTGAAATCTAAAATGCATTATATTTCATAATATTACTTAAAGTCCTTGATAAAAGATCTTTTGACTATATTCCATCATTTTACATTATGACAGCAAGGATGTTTATGCCTCGACATGCCGCAGTTATCTGGGCTTCCCATTTTGACACACATTTATTGTCCATTCCTTGGTTATTTAATGCCGTCGTTGTGGGCTTTAAGTATGCTTTAAACCCGTCGCCATATCCGAGTCGACAGCTCAAAGCCGTTGTCCCCCGGGCGAGTCCACATTTAAGCTGCAATTGGATCCACTTCTATTCTGTTACCGGCTACTGTTTGAGCGCCGGGGGCTGGTTGCCTGTTCAAATAGCCGAAGAGAGAGCTGTCCGGGCGGACAGCCGACTGTCAAAGGATGTTGCTGTAGCGTTGCTTGGCCATAAAATGCTACCGTTGCGTGCATAAAAAAGCGCAAATAACGCAATAGCGATATATAACAAATGAGGTTCCAAGTTTCCTCCGGCTGTCGTATTATATGGAGCTCTGCCCTACTTTAGCTACACGCCCCGGCAGTCTCTGACAGCCATGCAAATAATTTCATTTAAAAGCCATGCAATGTGTAAAATTTAAGTGAGTAACAAATTTATTAAAGCATAAATCATTATTGATTGCCATGAAGCCATAGCCAGCACAATTCTCGACAGATTGTGCTTAAGTGCTATGTAAACTGTGGCTTGTGGCTTAGGCCTAGAAGTTGGAAACGTTTGTCATAATTTTCACAATAGGAAACTCCTTTAAGTATCATGATTTATGATAAAAACTTGTTTTTTTTTTTATTAAATGCATGAGTTTTAGGCCAACACGAAAAAAAAAAGAGAATTTTTCAGTTAAAGTTTCTTAAAGGTTCCAATATTATATATGCTTTCGTTGTTGTTTCCCATGTATGTCAAACAGCTCTTTGGTAAAATTTCATTGATTCCCCCAAGGCATCAAACTGTGTACAGCGCTGGAATTGTGTACATCTAATTGCACAAGTTGCGCCAAAACAAGCAAAGTTTTGAGGTAGACGGCTATATGAACCTCCTTAAATAATAGTGTGCCAGAAATGATTTTTTCTTTTGTTTCAACTACTAAAAATCCTGATGAAAGTACAAGAGCATAAAGTGGAGTAGAGCATGCCAGGTGGAATAACAAAGTTTAAGGTACACAAAAATATTAAATTTCGTTTGTTACACGTACAACTGTTGAGCTTTTATTATGCCACATACTTTTTTATACCCTGTAATAAAATGTTAAAAAAAGAGATTAAACGGAAATTGTGTTACCAGCAATGGAAGGCATGTGCTACTTTATAAGAGTAATCTAGTTATCAGTAAGCAAATAAAAATATGTTTGCTTTGAGACAAATTCTTGATATATTTTGTTTGTGTTTAATATTCATGTTACTCCATAGAGCTGTCTAAAGGATAATTCCAAGTCGAGCACTCTTTGCTAGTGTATTCTCCCTCTTTTTTTTTCCTGTTTCTGCATTAAACATCTGCACAAATGTTCTTTTTATGACCACCAAATGCGTGTGTAATTATGCCTCGCACTGAGCGCCTCGGGCAACATTCCAACTGGCCATTGTTAATGTGGCCGGCTGACCAAATGGTCGCGTGTTTATGCATGTATGCACACACACACACACACATACCCATATATATATTTATATATATATATATATATATTTATATACGTACATAGAAATACACACTCCAACATACATAGGGATATTTGTATGTTCGTACCCGCTGCTTCATGCATTCGTGTATCGTGCGTTTAGTGCCAGGGAATTGCCCCAACAATTATTATGATGGCTGATAAGCGACCTACACACACACATAAATACACACACACACAGCAAGTCACGCACACACACTAAAACGGTGAGGCAGCATTTGCTTTGCTACGTGACTGTGGGTAATATTCTTGTACCAACTTTACGTATACGCAATGTGAGGCATGAAGCTAACATAATGTGGGGCGTATACGTAATGTTTAGTTGCAGTCCGAACACATGACATTTGTGGCAACATTTGCGACCGCCTCAGTTGCCTTGTCCTTTTTCTGAGGGGCCGCAGCCGCAGGCTGCCCTTAGCTTGTGCGTCGTGTGTATGAGTGTATGCCAGTATGCCGTGTGTACACCTTGCCTCACATGTGTGCGAAAGGCAACAACTGTGTCTGCTTTCATTGTCATTCCATTTATGTGACTATGACTGCCTTAGTTGGTTATGTTTTGTGCCTTTCAGGCCGGCGTTTTGTTTTCCCCCTTTTTATTTATATTGTTCTCTACTGTTTTATTATTATCGTAACTCCTGGCTTTCGTTTGTGGAGCTGCCTTTATGCGGGTGCCATTAATACTGCTAAGGGATCTGCAAATTAAAGACAAAACACACACAAAACTTGCTGATGAATTGCCACATAATTAAATATGCCAAATGTATCCGGACAGGCGGACAGGTAGGCAGAGTGCAAGAATGACAAAACGACGCTTGGCAATTAGCATTTTGATAAGTACAATAATTGCTGGAAACTTAAATTTGCTTATCAAAAACGCAAGGCCCTTCCTTACATACTTAAACTAAGAATTAATAATAAATCCTCAAATTTCCTTGTATTTGCATAAAGTGCAAATAGTTGTAGGTCCACGTTAGGCGCCGAATGCAACAATGTTTACTCGAGTGAAAAGTTATAGTTTTCTGATTTAATACAATATTAACAAATGTTTTGCACGCAAACCATTTTCTATCCTAACATTTTGGAAATGCACACTGCAAACCCAAATGTAGAAAAAGCTCACTTAAATTTCATACATTTATCTTTTATAATTTAAAAACATTTTTTGGCTAACAGACTTTTTACAGTGTCTGCAATAGAATTATTCATATCTCTGTAACAACAGAAAGCAATAGAGCAATAGCTTGAAGACAATGTCCTATTGATTTATGGGAAAATACGAAAATGACAAGTAAACAAGAATACGAATGCTCACTTGATCTGCAACGCTTTAATCTTGGCCACTTGATGTCGTTTTCTGGTGCCTACGAAGCACTCGTTGCGCCTCAGATACGAGTATTTCTGCTAACATTGCGAAAAGAACTCGAGTATTTTACATTTAGGAAACGAATACTTGAGTTATTTCAGTTAAGCATAATTATACATTCTGGCCGACTGCAGCAGTTGCCATCCTAGTTATTTCAAGATTTAATTAAAATAAGGCGCATACGCCACGTGGTAGACGCTTCAAAGTAGGTTACAATCTCACGTACATAATTCTGGGTTAAAAACCTCTAAAAACGCGACCGCCACCAGACGAGGCCTTGCGCCGTGCGCACTCCGAGTAGGAGGGAAGGGCATCAAATAAAATCCTCAACAAAGCACGCAAAGTCGTCTGTATATATATATATGTATCGTGTGTGAGTTCATAAAAATAGTTAATTTCACTAAAACAAAAACAATAACAATGCAGAGTTAAACCAAATTGCTTTTACTTTTACTTTTACTTGATTAAAGCGCCCTATGGGGCCAAATTTAATAAAGTTTTTTTCTTGCCACACGCATACAACAACCGACACACACACACACACACACACCTGCTCATGCCAGGCCACGTGTAGGCTGAGCTTATGCTATTATATTATATATTAATCATTATAATTCACCTTCACTTTACTCCAAGATTCACTTTTGTCTGGTTTTGTTTTGACTAGTATACCCGTGCCTAAATTGTATTCCGATTTTAATATTTCTGGCCTTCTTAGAAATAACGCAATATTTACATCAAGTAGTTTGTGCCGTCTGATGTTCTGTTACGTTACGCACCACGTTGTTCCGTAACGTTGCACCGCACTTGAAAGCCGCCAAAAAACTGAACTCGACTAACGGTTAAATTATTGCCAGCGACTGCGACTGCGACGCAGACAGCAACAGCGACAGCGACGCGACGCCAGCCGTGCTTGACGTTTGTGGAGTCGACGCATTAAACGCGCGGTAAACGAAATCAAAACAAATTTAAACTGGAGTAAATAAAAATATTAAATATTTTGTTTAATTTTTCACTTGTTTCAATTTTATATCATACAAAAAATGCATTGTTTTTGCTTTTCAGTTTATTGAAGAAAACATTTAAATAAGATGTCTAAAAAGGCATTGAAAGTAACTAATCACAAATCGCCATCTATTGCGAGACAGAAAAACTACTAAGTGCACTCGCCTCAAAGCTAAATGCTACGAGCAGCAGAACTAGTTCCCTTTTGAGTTTGCTTTTGGGCATGCTTTTTGAATTGAGAACGAGACAAATATATGAGAAGCAAGCGAGGGCTACCTTTACTTTTTGGCGGGTAAGAATAAAATTTAAATCATAAAGTGAAAAAGATAAAAATATAACAATGTAATAATGTAAAGCTTGTTTATTCAAAGTACTTAAGCTATAAAAATACTTAACTAAAATAAAGACGAAATCGTTTTTTAAATCACATGGAAATATAATTTAACAACGTTTTTATAAAATACTTGAGCCAAGGCTTTTTTTTATTCGAATTTAGAAAATTCAATTATATTCCGCCTGGATCTGTGCAATAGCAGTATTTGAGCAAATTAACTTGCTAACTATTCCAAAAATATTTTAAATCTAAATTGGTTAAGGTTAATGGTAAAATACTTTTTGGGGCAAGCCTAATTTTGGTAACATTTGGCCACATCAGTTGGCTGACTGAGCACAGTGTTGGAAAATATTGACAACAACCTATCACACACAAGAACTTTGCACCTCCTAATCTAATGACTTGTACATAAGCTAAACAATAAATATAAATTAAATAGAAATTAATGCCCACCTCTAATGCCTAACCATCAAGTGGCGTGATTCGCATCCGCCACGCATTCTTGATCATATCCGCCGCTTTTTCCGCAATCATAATGACAATTGCATTCGTATGACCAGCCGGCACATGCGGCATAATAGATGCATCTGCCACACGCAAATGGCGAATGCCATGAACTCTAAGCTCCGGATCTACTACAGCCGTAGCATCCGTGGAGGGCCCCATCTTACAGGTGCCCGATTGATGTTGCAAGCTAGAGCCGTAGAGACGCAAGCAACAGCGCCAATAGTCGTGGCTGGCAAAGATCAAGTGCTCACAGCCTGGAAAGTGACGCGCATGGAAGCGTGTGCCCATCCTCTGCATGGACTTCGTGCGTGCCAGCTGCAGAATCTGCATGGTAACAAGAGTTAGGCGAATTCCCTAGAATGCTTAAAGCTAATTACCATTTCAATGCCCTCGATCATGGCGCGCACATCGTCCGGATGTTGCATAAAGTTGGGCTCCATGCGTGGCCAGTGAAAAGGATTGCGACTCCGCAGCGAGATGCGTCCACTACTCTTGGGTCGCAGCAGCACCGGAACCAGACCGATCGTTTCCTTGTGCTGCAAATCGCCAAACATTTTCTCATAGAACTCATCCGTAATGCCTAGCAAATCGCGTAGAGTGCCAAAACGATCACCGCTCAGGGAGCCAGCGCCCAGGACAAGCTCCATATCCGCATAGTCCTTAGCTGCAGGATAAAAGATAATAAATGAAAATGTCAAGGAACACAGTAAAAACATGTTACCGAAACTGGAGCTGGGCGTGCGCACAAAGGCAAATGCCTCAGCACCGCCGGGAATGGTATATGGTCCCTGGCCCGCAAAGATGTAGCGAAAGATATCCGTTGGATTAAGAAGACGGGCATCGTTGACCGTGGAATCATTAACCATAAATACCAAGCCATTGAGCGTAATATGGTCCTGCAGATTGTAGCCGACGGATAGATCCCGCAGCACCGGTATGTTGTGCTCTTCGAGATGCGCGCGCGGACCCACGCCGGACAGCATCAAGAGCTGCGGACTGGCTATGGCGCCAGCGGACAGGATGACCTCCTTGCTGGCACGCACCACATAACGCTGACGTTGCTTGGTAAACTCCACGCCGACAGCCATCTTTGTGCTGGGATCAATGAGCAGCTTGGTGACCCAGCTCTTCATGGAAATGTGCAGATTGCGGCGGTGCAGCACAGGCTGTATGAAGGCCTTGCTGGTGCTGCAGCGTCGGCCGTGCCGTATGGTGGCCTGGGCTCGGGAAAAGCCCAGCAGCTGCTCGCCATTGGTATCGGTTATATCGTAGCCTAGTTCGCGACCCGATTTGAGAAACGCCTTCAGCTGCCGCGACTGGTAGTCCGTGTATTGCACATCCAATGGCCCGTTGCGTCCATGATACGGCGACTTGTACAGATCGGGTATGCCAATGCGCTCGGATTTCTTGAAATACGGCAGCACCTCCTCATACGACCAGCCCGTGTTGTTTGCAGCAGCCCAGCCATCGTAGTCCCGTCGATGACCGCGCGTATATAGCATAAAGTTGATCAGGCTAGTGCCGCCGATGCCGCGGCCCTTGGGCCAGTTGCATACGCCGTTTCGCAGACCCTGGCAGGCGTTAGGTGTGGCCTCCGCCTTGTAGCCCCAGTTGTATCGCGTGGTTTGGGTAAGTGCCGCCGTCAAAGGCACATCGCTGATGAAGGTCTCCTGATCACCTGCCTCCAGCAGCAGCACACGCGCCGTGCTAATCTCGCTCAGCCGATTGGCCAGCACACAGCCCGCCGAGCCCGCGCCTACTATGATGAAATCATATTCCGGCAGAAATGCCGTGGTGTCCGGTATGCGTGTGTTCAGCAGCGACGTCTCGAAGTCACGAACCAGATCGACCAGCAGCTGGCAGCGGCTGCAGTCCAAGCACACGCAGAGTATCAGCAAGTAGGCCAGTCGCATCTTCAACAGCTACAAATATCTATCTGTAAGATATGCTAATTAGCAAACGTTCTAGATATATATTAGCAAGTGCTTGTAAATTGCAAACGACTTTCGATTTTGCGACCCTGAATCCATTGAAAGAGTCTAAAAAGAGCTAAATCGTTTTGTGGAAATGTATGTAACAGTCAGCAGGAAGCATCTCCAAACATACATCTCCAAAATATATATTCATTTTCGTGCTTAGTTGTTCCACTCATGAATGTCTGTCCTTATGTTTATGAATGCGATGTTGTCGAAAAGTTTTCGACTTAACGAGTTTTATCCCATACCATAATTTCGATTAGAATTGATTTTTTAAGCAAATTGGTTTTGCTTATGGCTCCATGGTTACTTCCCCTCAATTTCATCAACCTCGGGCTATAAAGACCGAAGTTATGGAGGAATAGATTTCCCAAATCTCGTGTGTAAAGGTAGCATCCTAGCCTTTCACTCCCAACTGATTTATTCACTTTGCAGTTGGTTCTGGCCAAGCGGCTGAGGCTATCAAAGCTCTCTGATATCTGGCGATGGTATGTTTTTTTTTTTTTTTTGATTTTAGCTCAAGTTCAACAAGTTTCCGATTACATCGATGCAACAGAAATAATGGATGTGCAAAAACGAAATAAAAGAAACATGAAAGCAAAACAATAACACGCATATGGCTCGCCGAACCGGTTGGCGATCAAAACAGAAAAACTGAAGAAGTGGCCAAAGCGAAATTAACAAAATAATTCGAGCGCAATCCAAGCAAAAATATTTGCCAGTTGACGTTGACCCATAAACCGCACGCGGATGTTCATTAAAGGCCGAAACACAAGCAAAATGTAGAAAATCAATAAATAAAGAAGTTTCAAGAGCTACGACTTATAAATACACTCAAAAATGTATATTTGTCAGACGATAAATATTAAAAAATTGCTAAAAAAAATATGCACATCGAATAATTTCCATAACAAAAAGGCTTACAAATCTATTTGGATTCCAAAATATTACAACTTTTCTGTTTTTGTTTCATATACGCCATATTATAATATCGTTAGGCATAGCAGCAGACGACTCTGATCAATGAAAATATTTGAATATTCTTGATCAGATTTTAATTACATGTTAATATATGTCTAAATCATTTAAGGCTGAACGCTATATCAAATAACTGCCATAGGAATGATCAGTGTTAGCATAATTTGGAGTGTTAAATATATATATTTATTTTGCAAAATATCAAACTATGCTTCTTACACGAACTCTTAGCCATCTAAGAACTTTTCTATACCATATGTCTGTAAGTGGATTTTATTTTTAAGCCCGCCAAAGTTTTTCTTTCATTTTCTATACAAAAAATAACGAAGTAAGAATAAGCACATTATATGATAAAATTGTTTATGAAATTTTCAATTCATTTAACTGCAACAAACTTGTTGCTATAGTTATTATGCCTTTCAAAGAGCAGCACAAGTTAAAGTCGTGGGCGCGCTGTGATTCCACAAAAATGACTTTATATGCAAATTAAATGCCCAATTTGTAGTGGGTTTTTTTTTTCTATTTTTCAAAAAAACATTTAAGTCTATTAAATGCAAAAATTGCACAAATAGGAGGAAAAAAGAGAGGTATTTCAATTAACCCCAATAGGCTGCCCGCCAAAAATTGAGATACGACAAGCTAACTGGCATCGCATTTACAGATACATATTTAATATATATGTACACAATAATGAGATACAGATACATTTGGCTTTGTCTCGGCACAATCGGTTCTACGTGCGTTGCCTTCAATATGCATTCGTCACAGACACACTTTGTCTGGGCACAACGCAACTTCTTTTGTCACTCAGACTTAAGAAAAGCCCATTTATTATCGGTCAACTTTCGAGAGCTTCCACACAGAACTGCCCTGCCACAACGATTTCAAGGGTTTCGATTTCGCTCGAGCGAAGGGCACTGCGCTCGTTAAAGTTCTTCCCATCACTCAACAGTCTGTAATTAATAACAAGTGCATTTTGTGGTCAACAAATACAAAATAAAAATAAAAATAAACAGAAAAAACTGGTTACGCTAAATTTACTGGTTGTAGCTGTGGCACCATGTCAGACAAAAAATGGGTTTAAAATTATCATTATTTATAACACATTTTTCAATCCGCGATAACTGCAACCGTTTGCTTCATGCCACCTGCCACTCGTCTTCATGGCCCCAGACTTTCAGCTTATTAACTGTGTCCAATTAGCCCAGTTTAAAAATATACGACTCTTGGCGCAACGAAAGGCTTAAGGGCTTATGAAAAGATGTAGATATGCGTTGAAAAAGTTTAAGAAGTCTTATCAGATATTTTTTTTATTATTTAAAAATTTGCTAGCTAACTTTAAGACGATTAAAAGTTTCAGTAGATTGAGGTAATTCAAATCCCGAATGTTTGTAGTTGTAGCTAATCCATTATAAACATGAGATAAATATATCTTCAGCGAATTGAATGTGGTGAATAAAGTTTATGGAAAAACAATTATAAATTAATTACAAATTATGTAATGCTTGAATAAATTACATACAATTATTTATAAAAAATTGTGAAAAATGTGTTTTAGAAGAATACAATTCACTTGCACTCAAGTTCATAGAATTCTTTAATCGACATTCTATATTGATTTTAATTATAAGAATTCCAAATATTCCAGAAAGAATCACATAAGCCACATATTTGCAAACAGTTATAAAGTTAGCCTTACATTTTGTTAAACTATAAAATTAAAAAAATATATATTTTTTAATTTAAAATAAAATTGTTTTTTTTTTCCATTGCTTATACGCGATTCACATATTTACACTGCCAAAAATTACAACTTGTCTGTTTTTGGTGGACAAAATTGCCTCATCACATGCACAATTCTGTGGCAATCAAATTGCTTGAGATATTTTACCAACATGCTCAACACATATGCATTGATATCAGTTGAAGCGAACACGCGCCAAGAAACACTCACACACACACATAGATCCGCTTTATAAGTTGTGAAATTCTAAACACGTTTTCGATGCTGTTTGCATTTAGAATGCACTTACGCAATGGGCGTGTTGCTCTCCTTAGCTGATACACCAGATTTATATGTATATATGTATATAAATATATATTTGATCGATTGTTGCGATCTCGACAGCTACTGCGCATGCGCGCGCGTTGCTGTCCGCTGGTTAAATGAGTCGCCGCTGCCGACGCATGCAACGATGAAGCCTATGCGGCACGAATCAAGACGGGTAGTTGCCGGTTAAGTCGGTCAGTTTGGCGCGCTACGTTTGGGCCGACACGCAATCCAGTCCAGTGTCGAACAGCAGCCAGGGGATACAGAGATACAGTTTTTACTGTCGCCTCTGGCGCGTCTTTTTCAAGTTCATCGCGTGAACTTGCAGAAATTTCATGCGGGCTTATTTACATTTCGGCTTATAGCTTGCCCTTACCCCGTTTCGCCAGTTTCGGCGATTCACGTTGTGGACGTTGTGTTAGTCATAGCCAAAAGTTGTGCATATTTTGACTGAAACTGAATTAGCACCAGTTTATGCTCGCAATCCCATCGAAGGCAAGCATGCGTTAATCAAAAATTTGGTACCATCCCATTAGCAATTGCTTGCGAACAAATAAAACTATGATCAGTAGCTGTGCTGAATGTGCTTCCGCTATTTAACCACGTTAGTGCAAAGTAGACTCTGTTGTTGACGGCTCAAGTTCAATGTCAGGCAACGCTGCGTTGTAACTGTCTGTGTAGTTGTGTATCTTGTATCTTATATCTTGTATCTATGCGCTTTAATGCTGATGACTTCATGTTACAACGATTACAAACCTAAAGTTCAGCCACATAAATTTGCATACGTACAACATTAAGCTCCTATTCATTAATGGGCAAACAAGCAACAACACAACAACAACAACAACAACAACAATAACAACTATAGCTTTAGTTCGTTCGATTTCTAATTTTGTTGCTACTTTCATCATCAGCTTTTTGGCGCATTTGTGAATCGCATTCGACCTTCAGTACCGGCGAAGCAACATTTTTATTTTATTTTTATACACAACTATTTTTTCTCCATAGGTTTTATATCTAAAATCCAAACAAATTACTTGAAATGCATTTTGCTCGGCTCGCGCGCCTTTGTTTAAACGTCCATAGTTGATATTTGCACAGATTTTATGCATATTCATTTAGCATGACTTGGCAACTGTCGAATTATCTGATGTTTGATTTTAATCAAGTGCACACACACAGACCCACATTCAAGTGCTGGGCTCAAATCATTCGATACTCTTTATTGTTCATTGATCAAAAGCTGAAACAAAACTCTGCTAATTAAAATTTAAACGCTAAACAATAAAAAACGAATGTGTCTGCCCTCCGATTAGGTGTCAGAAAGTGATAGTATATTTGAAAATTTGCCTAAAGCGCAGTATGATTCAGCATTTTTGTCTTTCCACTTGAAAATAAGTCGAAATATAAAATGAAAGAAATAGAAGTATACCCATATATAAGTACAAATTTGTAGAAGGGCTTTGCACAAGCCAAAGCCAATAACAGGGATTCCCCAAAATGGTTTGTTAATATGTACCTAACAATAAAATGTAGTTAACTTTAAAGTTCAATTGTAAATGCTCTTTCTGGCAAGTGAATATATAATATTTAGTTAACTTTAAAGATCTCTCTTAAATTCTGACAACTTTATCCAAAACGGAGCCCATTTCGAAGTCCAATTCAAGGTTTGTTCTTCAAACGTATTTTTAAATGTTGACAATTTTCTTTCATTTTTTTCGTTTTATATTGTAGTTTTAAGTCACATATTTTACAATTAAACTAAATAAAAATAATAAGAATACTGAAAAAAGAGTTTTGTCTCTTTAATTCTTATTTTGTTAGTTTGTAAATCATATGCAGCTATCCTAAATAGGCCTTGGTACGTGTGTAGCAACCACTTTCCATGGATATTCTTAACGAATCGATAATTATACCAATTAATATCGGCAGGTAATCGGTAGAATATGAATAAGCATCAATCGTCTGGCAGGCAGAGCAGCATACGAACAAAAATTAAGATAATACTTATGCTATAAAAACTAAGCCAACTTTTTTATGCTTAACGGAATTAAACAAATAAATCCACCACTTATGATAATATAAACAAAGATCAAACAGTAAACTAGGTACTTACACTTTTTTAAACTCTCATAACTTTGCTTAGCCGAAAGGGATTTCCATAATTTGTTCTTTAAATCAAGCCGCAGAAAAATGTACTTTAAAAATGTTTCCGTCTTAGCAAATATACATTTTCGTTAAGTAAAAAGAGTAAATATTAATTAAAGGTATGAAATGCAGCTCAATTGTGTCAACAAGAACTTAGTATTTATGTGATAAACAAATACAAACACTCGTGTTTTAAGAATTTATAGAACAACCATGACGAACCACTGCTGCCAGGGTTATTTACATTATAAAATCTTTGCATGCATTTGCACATGTTAATTTGTTAAATAAAGTGTGCCAAAGCAATGCATATAAGGTTTATGTTAGAAATATTAGGTTCTCTAGCTGTTCAATGCTCATACAATTAATTTTACCAACCGCGCATTCGCCATTGAAACTGAATTGTTCATGAGTGCTGTTGATTTAGAGCTCATAAATGTTATTTATATTTGTTGACTTCAGCTATTTAAAATGAGCCATGAAATCAAAAATAAGCAACAATTAATTGCTGTACTCTAATCGAGTAACCAGAAAAACAAAAAAAGAAAAGTTTCCTAATTTGCCAACAACCTTGTCAAGGTCGACTTAAAAGACACTGTCCTCTGGGAGTCCAAACAGCATTAGCACACTACCTCAAGTCTATTAAATAACAAACATTTAGCAAACGACATAAATGATCGAACTTAAACACGAGCGCAAGTCAAGTTCAACCTCAATTCAAAGACGTGGCAACAATTTTCATCGTTGTCGGACAATAAAGCCCCCCTCCCACCTCTCAGTGTCAAGTGCTGTGAGGCCCGGCTTTGGACCGATCCCTGTAATTTGTGTGATGCTCGTAAATCACGTGTCTAACGCGAAACGCCGTTAAAAATTGAAGACGTGCGCTGCGCATATAAAAATGACCACAGCGATGCCCAACGCCCAATGGCAATAAAACTCAAAACCAAAAAAAAAATATCTTTGAAGCTAATAATAATAAAAGCTGCAACAGCTACCAGAGAAAAAAATAAAAAAAAATAAAAACAAAGAAAAATGCCATATGTTTATGATTTCAAATCGGACAAATGCTGACTGCGAAGCGCAACTGAGTTTAGAAAGATAATTTGTGTTTGATATTTGTGTTATTGGGTATGCCCGACTAGGAGTTACGCAAAAAGTAAAATATTTAACATCGTTTAGTCTATAGAGCTTTTATCATTTTCTAGTTGTGCCGTAAATTAATGTCTAAAAATCGATTCTTATCGACTTTATGAAAATGCGAGGAGACATCGAAAGAAATATATATATATATAATAAGTTTCAAGTATGTATATACATATTCTTTCTAAGCTTATAATCGATTCTTTCTGCTTTTGCGAACACATAAATAAAACCGTTGTAGCCCACTTAACCTTTTTCAATGGATATAGCAAAAGAGCAGCGTGGAGGCAATATCGTAACAATATCGTAATCGAAAAGCCGAAAACCGCCGAGCTGCACTCGAGAGGCTTTAGGTCAAAAGAGCAGACGTCTGGCAGGGAAGCGGCAAAATTGAATGAACTTGAAACAATTGAAGTGTAATTTTGTATTGAATGAGAAAAAAGATGACAGATTTTCGTAGTCTGTCACACGCAACATGAGTGCTATGTATTAGGGGCATTCTTGAAATAAGATTCTCCAGAATCTTCGAATTACGTCCATTCATTTCATTACTGTAGCTAAATATACTAATGAAAAAAAAAAAATCAATAATTATCCGTTTAAATAATCAATAGTTGATAATAATAAAGTTTTTCTCAAAGCTTTATCGGTAGTTCGTCGTTCCTATTTTTGGGAATGTTTCTTTTATAGCTATATAGGCCGCACCAGGAATAAGAAAGCCTAAATTCGTAGTATCTCATCTATTAACGAAATGTAAAATATATCGATTCATAATCGAGAACTGCCAATAAAGACTCTCGGGAGCTATTATCGCTGATCCAACATTCATTTCTTCAACAAATTTCAATTATTAATTTTTTATTGTTATAGACTCTGCAGAACACAGCTGCTGGTAATACTTCAAAACTATCGATAGCTACCATTTTAAATAATCGACAGTTGATCGCCTTAAGTCATTTTAAAAGATCATCTCTACTGCTTTTTTTATATATCTCTCCAAACTATAGTGAGATCTCTGTCTACCGTATTATGTTCCACGTAGTGTTGGATTAATGTTTTTGGGAACACCCAAATAATCATAATTTTCATGATTGAGTTGACAGCACGACGTCGAGGAGTTTCTGAGACGGTCTTTGAACGGTTTGATTGGTGTTATTGACACGACCGCTGAGTGTGCGTCTTACCATGGTTTTTTAAAAACGTTTGTTGTTCAAATTATTGTTTCTACTGACATTGACCATAAATAAGGCAGCAAGCATTATATTTTATTTATAAGCTCAATGAAATTGATTTTATTTGAATTTGTAGCATGGTTTAAGTTTGTTGTCTATTTGCAATTTAATTATAAGTTTAATATTAAGGTAAGTCAAAAATTTAAATTAAATATAATAGTCTTAAAAATAAATGGGTATGCATTTTGATTACACAATTCGAATAAATTACGTTTCAAGTTGTTTTTTTTTTTTTTATATATGTATGATATATATTTTCTTGATAATGGGTTCTGAAGATCTTTTAATTACGTATAGTTGTTTGCTTGGCTTAGTTTAATAAACCAATTGCTTTGCAAGCGCTGTAGTTATAAAATTGTTATGCAAATATGTTTCGTACAAACCTAGGTATAACTAAAATCCTTTTTTTCTAAATATGTCGTCATAAATAAATTGTTTGATGTACAAAATGTTGACAGCAAACATACCTAATGGCTAAAAAAAAATGTTTCATTCTTGACTTTTGATTATTTTTGTGATAAGTAATAATATTTTCTTTGTTGCTTGATCGTGTACAATCAAATAATATTTTGTTAATTTA